TTTACTTGATGCAGCATTATTATTAGACTTCATTAAGACCTGAAATCTCTGGAACTGCAATACACTCAAGGGTCTTTCCTGCAGGTAAAAACAAAGCGAACGCAGTCCCTGAGAGAGGTGTGGGGTGATGCAGACAAGTGGAGGAGGTGGGGGTACTGGTCAGTTTGCCATTCGCAGAGAGAGAGCAGGAGAAAAAGAAAGAAAGCGAAGGGAGAAAGATAACGTGACACGCAAAGACGAGGAATGAGGCCAACAGAAAGAGAGGGCTCCAGCTGCCAGAGATAGGCCGAAACTAACAGTAGGCCATGAACAGGGAAGCAGCTGTCACAGGTTGAAGTAGAATTTAGTTGCTTTGATGGTATTTTTGACTGATAGGCCAGAATTACTGCAACCAGTGTACTAACACAGTTCGCCTTCCTTCTCACTGACATTAGCAGTTTAATACAAGACGTTTCAGAAAAGAAAACTGTCATTGCAAACAAAATAAACAGAAAATCTGGAAGTGTTGTCACAGCTGCTTCTGTGCAGTACACATCTTTTTATGCATCCCAAATACTGCCAGAGACACAGTGACAACCTGTTTGGGATGGCTTACATGGCAAATCCCTTTATGAGGTATGGGGAAAGGGTTACGCCCATTGCACTGTAAATGGTCGGTGCTCCTTCCTTTCATTTCCATAACAAGCCATCAGAACTCATCTCCCACTGAAGTGGCCACAGTCCCACTGGCAATTAAAATCATGCTGGGACATGCCATGGTTGTGTGTGACTCCACTGTGGGAAACAAAAGCAGCGGCAGCAGCGGTAATGACGCCAGCAGTTGAGTGGTAAATCTCGAGCAATGTCGGCGGAAACCGACGCTTTGATTTCTCCAGGAAAGTGAGAGCAGGCCTCGTTTACATCTTTCGGTGTGAACCTTACAGGAAAATATCAAACAAGGAGACTGGAAGAAACAGCAGCATTTCATCTCCGACTTCTTTACCACTTTCGATACACATCGACAATACTAAAAAGGCATGTTTTTTTAAGAAGCGTCAGTATCTGAACAGGCTCGAAATTTAGATGGGGGAAAAAATTAGAATATATATATAATATATATGGATAATTAGGGTGTTAAAACCAGAATATTTTTATGTGAGGCAAAGTCTGGCTTGGGTTAAAGGGTAGGTTAAAATGTTTGACTCCTGTCGCCTCTAGCTAGCTACAGCTGAACTTCGAAATGAGGACTGCAGGTCTTGTCCCATGTGTCTTACAGTGTAGTTATGCTTAGAGGGGTTCCCTGTATGGACAGGAGAAATAATAGCAGTGACAAATAATTATTTAAAAATGCATATGACATGTGAGTATTGTATGAAGATAGACTTGAAAATAAATTAAACTCTCCTTCAAAAGGACCTGACCAACAGTGCTTCCAAAACAACAGCCTCCTGAAATCTCCTAGAAATCAGGGTCTCCCTCTTGTTTTTATTTTTATTTTTAAAAAGAGCACCTTTGCAAGCTTCAAACGAAATGATTACATATGTATAAAACATAATGTTAGGCTTTTTAAGTTTCAGTTGAAATGAGCAGTGGTGCTACATCACGTTTAATGAGGGATGTTTCAACCATCAGAGTATCTACCTTCACTATGAGGCGAGATGCAAGAAACGACTGACCGATTACATCTTACATTGGCTCTTGCATAACATTCCTTATTCATCACAGCAGCACGTTGCAATTTCAGTAAAGAAAATACTCCAAGTTTTTAACACTTATGGCTTATGCCATTTACTAACCAATTTCCTGGAGGCTAACCAGGAGAAAACAGAAGGTGATGAATATATTTTGTTCATATTTGTATTTTCATTTCACTTTTTAATATCTTTTGCACGGATGACATTTAATATGCTACGTATTACTACTAATAGAATGGATCAAGAATGGCTTGCTGTGAAACTAAATGTTGGAGGTGCTGAAACATTTATGTAGAAACCCTGGCATTCTGAATCTACTTTTAGCTGCCTATCTAATACAGCCATGGCCAACCCGAGCCAGGATGAATAGGCTAAGAGGAGACAGGGCATAAATGAATGCGCATAAAGCACTTTGCATCACATCATCATTGTTTAATCCTTTCATTCTCATCTGTCAATCATCTGCAGATGAAACCTAATCCCTGAATATTTGTGAACTAGTCTGCATTGATACCTTTGACATAACTTGTAACTAAGGCTTCTATTTATAATACAAAATGTCTACTTTTAAGTCTTAAGATAAGCTTTAGTTGCGTGACATTATTCACTATTAATGTGCACTGTGAATTTCTTTAGCATGTTTTCTTTGATTGACAAGACCTGTGGTTATCTCCTATTTGTGGCCATTATCAATATTCAAGTGCACACAAAAACAGATTACTAAAATCAGACCTATAGAAGATTCTCAAATGCATGGCGCAAAGCAGAGGTAATCCGCACTTTGTGATTGATTTGTCATACAAGAACATATTTATGAGTTATAACAGTAATCCACAATTCAGGTATAATATTGGCCCTTAAAGCACGAAGGTTCACTTTCAAATTCTCCAAAATCGTATGTTCCTCTACATACAAATATACAAATCCTCTGAGCAAGACCTCTCTGGTATACCAGTCAAATCAAACTACGTCAATATAGCCTAATGATTATTTGTTGCCAAACTCCCGTCTGTCTGTTTCTGACAGCCTCTTTACAACTGAACTGTCCATGTTTTGGGGCAGTGTCAGTTATGCCTGCTGATACAACTTGTTTTTCCTGTGATCCTGTCATCCCGGTGCAAACACCTTCAGTTGTTTACAGTGAAATGTCCTCTGTGTTCACCTTCACTTCCTGTCTGTTTTCAGCATTACTCTACGTGCTGTACATACTGTATAGTTTTACCATACTGCCGCATTCAGCAGTGCGAGGTCATTGGCAGGGTTACTTGTGAGGTCATTGTTAGCCGTGAGAAAATTAACGCTGATTGGTCTCGTCGCGATTTGCTCCCCCGAAGCCCGTGCCACCGAGGCACCTGCCAAGGCGAGCTTCTTTAAGCAAGAACGAGGCCTATTCAACAGCTGCATAAGCAGCAAGGCAGGCAGACAGTGGAGGGGAGAGAGGGACAAAGAAAGCAAATGCAAAACAGAGAGGACTTTCTAAATGGGAACCTCAGAACTTCTTTTAAAAGGTCTTAAATCAATTGAACAGAAAGTACAAACCCCTGCAATGTTAATCTATCTGGCCTAATCCCATTGCTTTAAGATCCTTTATAATCCACATTCAATACAACCATTTTTCTTCCCTAACAAGCTTGCCCTATAGCCATTTTATAAATCATTGGTACAAGGCTTTTGCAGTGCCACAAATTCTGTTATGGTGTCATTACTTCACAGAGTTATGAATCATGCAAGGTAGAATGACAAATATGTTTAAGACCTGTAGAACAGCTCAAAATATTGTATTTCCCTCTGAGTCATTGCTAAACAAACAAAAAAAAGAAATATATCTCTGTATATATATATAAAAACACTGTTTAAAGAAAGATTAACAATAAACATGACAGCAAGAGGAGTTTTCTGTTCACTTAAAAATTGCAAGCATCATCAAACATCTGAGCTGCTTTACTCCACCTTCGACTTTTATGAGCAAGTCTCAGAACAGAAGAAGTTAAAGTGATATACCTGCTATGTGAGAACTGTGGAGAAACACTGGTAGTTTCTCAACCATATGCCGATATCCTTAAGTCACCATGTGCTCTGGCTTTGAAAGCCTGCACTGCCAATTCTTCATTTGAAACCTGACCAACTCTTTAACAATGCCTCTCTCTGATCCAGTGGGAGGGAGAAAATCTATTATCGATTTCCACCTGGTTTAGGTGGAAAAAGCCCTGATAGCGATGCTGAATGACGCTACACTGTACTACAGCTACAGCCTGCAAAATAAAAGCTGGGGGATGGTGTGAGAGGGCATGTCAACAAAGCCCTTGACTATGCCACAGCACCATCTGCACACGCTGAATATTTAATTGTCAATAGAACTGCTCAAGACCAGTAATCAAGAAAAGGAAAAGATAATACGCATTATGAGGAGCTCATACGACAGTTCCTGTGTGATTGGAGTTTGGCTTATTTTTTTAAATCACCCATTCTTTCGATGCTAATTGTTACTATTTCTACATGCATGCGCCACAATTAAAGATATTTCTAAATCACTTATGTCATTCAATCCCATTCAACTCCGAATGCTACAGAAAACAACTCAATAGAGTTATAATTCAGCCGGTAAATGTAATTCATCACTGTCAATGAGAAGTCACCAATCATTTCTTGCAAATTCAGTCAGGCTAATATTGGGCTATTCATTTAAAAATAAAACTCTCGCCATTTTACATGAATGTGCAACCTTCAAAAACGGGATCTTGAATCCACTTCCTAAAGCTTAGATTGCTTCTTTTCCCCACTAAAATAAAACTTTCATCCAATAGATACAGTTCTCTGCAGATACATTAGAACCCATCTCCTGCCAGTCAACCCAATAGACAAGTCACCAAAGCATGGTTGGCCACTTGTACTCTGTTGCATTAAACAGACAATAAAGCTTATTTTGATACTATTTCAGACTAAAACTGGCCCCCTCTGTTGCAATGGAACTACAGTATACTGTATTAATAAGACAAAACATTTGACATTAAAAACAACTATGATAAGGGATGAAATGGAAAAAAGCACTGACATTGATATAAAACTGTGAAGTAATACAAAAAACAACATAACCTCAATCATGCTGAAAATTTCCTTTACGTCTAATATGTCCAACTTTAATTGCTTTGGTGAAACAGCATAGACAAGGTGAGAACAATGGAGCCAGACTAGGTATTTCTCTACAATAACAAACAGACAACCACTGCCTCTTTGTATCTGCTGTGTGAGCACACAAAATTAGGTAAGCTAGTGACATGAAACATAATCATTTTCTTTGAGCAGGGTTAGTGACCAATTTATTCTTACCTTAGGCTGGGCGCGACGGGGAAAGGCAACCTTAGGATCAATCTGAGAATGAGAAAAGAATAGCAAAATTGTTGTTAAAAGAAAAGGTTTTAAGGCAATGAACAGGTGTTGAAAAATGTTTCTAAAAGTTTGAGCTCACAAAAGAACCACAGTATGACACACATTCACAAAGTTACACAACACTTACAAATTAAGTGCACAAGAATGACCCAAGTAAAATTATAATAAGTAACACAACGGGTCTGCTTGAATCAGACCTGATTTTTGTCAAATCAGTCATTGTTTGCGTTGTGTGACGTGGCAGACCTTTAGCTTGAAAACACTTTAAAATGTTTATATTGAATATTGACTAATAGCAGTACACAATTGTGTTATGAGTGTTTGAAGACAGCTGGCCAATATAACTGACCTCATTACTTAGCAAATTTTCCATAATTGATGGAGCTCAATGACACATTCTAGGCACAGCATTCATTGCATTGGGCAACATACTTAAGGAATACACATATCAATTACTGCCAATTATTGTGTGAATTAGTCTCCAGACCAAAATGTTGGTGCTACCAAATCATCTGCCCTACAACTGCTTTAAAAAAAAAAAAAAAAAAAAAGAAGAAGAAGAAGAAGAAGCTAGGCCAGCCCCACCATCATTCTGCTGGTCATGGTCGCGGCAGAGGCTTGCTTTTATTTTAGGCAAGAATGGCTGATTGAATATGACAGGGAGAAAATGAGAGTCTGAGGCCGGTGACGCCTCCAGATATTGCCAAATAACCGGGAGGATGCGTCAGATCAGCCCGTTTCTCCATCTTGTGCTTGTTATCTCATTAGCTTCATTTTCCTCGTTAATTTCACTGGCATGAAGGTATGTGGTGGGGGGTCTCATCAACCTTGTACTTACAATGAGGAGGAACTATCTCAAACAGCAATGTCATCCTAATTTGTCCTAGCCTAGATACGGATAGATTTGAAAGAGAATTTCGCCCCCAAAAAATTAACAGATCTAATTTTCTTTTTGACATAATATTAATCATTTGTGTTTAACAGAAAATCCATTTCATGTCAGGCCATATTTTCCGGTGTGTTATACCAAAATATATTTACAATTAGTGTACCATTTCTATGCATTTATAAAAGTTACTCCTTCAGCACAGACGGATTTATCTAAGAAACAGATATCTCTTCCTGCTGTGAAAAACAATGGAAGGAAAATGAATCAGGGAACACGAGAATGAAACACACCATCTGCACGGATCAATTAAGCCAATGAGAATGACTGGGTTTTAATGTGTTTGAAGGGAAACCATGATGTGCAATGTCATTGTCATCTTTTCTGTCAGTCTCACTTATTACTGTTATCTCTCTAAATCAGGTCAAAATGAGAAATGAATTCAATAACACCTGGGTATGGCAACCCTGCTTGTAATGAATTTCATTTAAAGATTTGTTTTAGCACTTAGCCCCAGGCATAACCAATTCAAACTCAATTATTTTGTGCGCCCTATTTGAGCAAAGACAACACATTATGCCTTGAATACCTAAGTCCTATACTTGGTAATGTATCTTATACTTTTTAAGTCTATATGTACATATCAAGTCTAATTTCATCATACGGCATAAACTAATTATTTTTCTGTTCTGCTGAGAATTTCTATTCACTCTAAAAGGTTTAGGTTTCACCATGAATGAGAGAGCACTTTAACACAGCAGCAATGGAGGTCATACAGTTTTCTGACAGTTTTAAATTTTATAATTATCAAGAAGAGACCATTATATGCTCAGCATTATGAAAAAAAGGAGGCTATACAGCAGATTTGTTTAAATCACACTCAGCGCAATGCAACCAAATTAGGCAATGAGGACTTACTAACCAATCCTTCTGAGAAATGCTGTAGCAGCACCTTTTTAGGTCACAACTTATGATGAATGACTCCTTTGAGAGATTTGAAATTATGAGGAGGGGAGATGTAGCAATTGTTTCTCTTTGGTTTAGACATCCATGCGAATGTGATTTTTATGTAGAAAGTACCTTCATACTTAAGGCCAAGGGCTAAAATATGCATCAGCCTTTGCACTGGATGACTGTACCATTGAAGCAGAGATTATGTTGTCTCAGGTTCACCGGATACTTTCTTCCTGAAACATTTTTGTTATGTAACACACACATACCATCAGGTTTGGGATCAGTGAACCGGACCTGGGTAGTGCACTTGTTTCAGTAATTCCACACACAGTACTTGCAAATGTTATTTCACTCCACTTTGTTTTCATCTATCAGTACTTTACTTACCACTAATTGAGAAAAATGCCTATTAGCATGTTTTGATCCATTTTGTTTTAGAGAAAGTACTTTTCTTAATGGGTTGGGGGGGGACACTCTCTTGTCCTTACCGGGCTATTGCTTTCGCTCTAATTTCCACGTTCTCCATCTACATCAGCTGAATGCAACAAGTTTAGGCATACTCTTTGTGGTTTGTTGCAATGAATTCTGGGAACAAATTGCAAACTGATATAGAAGTAGAGACGTTTTCTTTTTTTTTTAGGGAACACATGTAGCTAAAAGCACATTAACACTCTTCAGTACTAAATAATTTCTGTTGACTGTCATAAATTAAGGATACATAACTGTAGTGTAGAAAGCAGGGCCTCCCATCCAGCTGTAGCTGTATGGTTATCACCTTGCAGCAGTAAAAGTACTTTATTAACCCCCCTCTAGGAATTTCTTTATCACTGAAACATCACAAGCAGTGCATACAAACTAAACAGCACATTAATATTTAGAAACCTGCCTTGGACCTGAATGAACAATCTGTTCTGAATATGAATTTGCTCCACCTTTGAACATTACGTTTTATTGGTTGCCAGATTAGCTGCTCAAACGGAGGAATCCAGTTCTATTAAGCAGGTAAACACCTGGAATGAAATTTTTGTTTATTATTTTCATACTGTGGAAGTATGAAGGTCATTGGGACTGTAAACTTCATTAAGAAGCATAAAAATAAACTTCACTTGGCCTGGCCAAAGTACAACATACAAAATCTTCTAGGTGATTTAGGTTGCAAAGTATACGAAATAGGGCTTAAATAAGCCGATTAATCAATTAGTCGACTGACAGTAAACAAATCGGCAACTATTTTGATAATTGTTTATCGTTTAAGTAATTTTTACGTAAAAAAAATTCAAGCTTTTGATTGTTTAGCTTCTGAGATGTAAAGGTTTGGTTTTCGGTCAACAAGAGGTTTGATGGGCATTTTTCTTTACAGTGTGTTGAATGAAAACTGCAAACAAAAACTACAATTGAAAAACAGCCAGCAATATGTTTACCTATTTATTCATGTATGAGCCGCAACAAAATGGAGCCAATTAACATAAGCCATATCATTGTGTTCTTTGTGAGGAAAAGAAAAGGTTCTATCTTATTCTTATGGCTCGGGGTTGGATATGATTGTTACCAGCATCTGTTATCTACAACTATCTGTGGTCTGTATGGGGTCCTTTCTTCCATCGATTAAATTACTGTAACCATCTAATGGTACCTGTTATGTGAAATTGACTGGCAGCCTCTAATGTGATGTCATTTTCAAAGGGCTCTGCAATTATAGGATGTATTCCTTTTGCAATGTGGGTATCCCAGAGAAATCTTAAGCATCTAACTGAGATTAGACAGTACAGAAGTAGCAAGGGACATGCTAGAAATGCACTACTGGTGAAGTCATACAGCTGTAGTCTGTGCCAAGAGCTTTTTTTCCTCTCTCCAAAGCAGTGGAGTACTTTTAAGTATTTGCTCACCTTATTCCCTCTTTACATCACCCCAACAAGACTTTTTCAAATTAATAGTTTCGATGCACCTTTGTTATATGATGAAACATGATCTCACACAGAACAAAAGTACATTTCCTCAAGACATCATACTACCTGATATGTCAACGTAATAAATGGGAACAGACCAAAAGGAAACCACCCCCCCAACCCCACCCCACCATCTTTTATCTTCCACTGCCTTTTACTAAAGGGCCTCAGAGGGCCGCTTCTGCATGCGACTGTTGGAGATCAGGGCAGAGAAACAGCATATATCTTAAGTTCACATCTTACAAAAGGATTTCATATATTAATGCGACTCCTGGGTAAACTCTCTTCCTCTCTCTTAAGACATATCTACACTGGCATGATGATGTGGTGTTTAAACTAAAAGGAAAAGGCTTATCAAAGCTTGCAGCTTCTCCCAATTTAAGTGTGTGAGCAGGTCCACAGGTGTGCGTGTGCGATACCAACGGAATAGACAAGAAATTTAAACATAAATGTTTCATATCTGTGCTGTCAATCTTTACTGATTTTCACGGTGGAATAACATCTCGAAAAGGCAGTTTGTTATGCTCCTCAAATCAATAATGAGAATTTTTACCAATGTCACGCTCAACAAGCAAATTGGACATCTTTTTTTTCCCCTTCTTAAAAATATGCAACACAATTATGAGAACAACCCAGATTCAGTGTTATTACACAAAATATTACGTTACTGCCTTGACAAACATCTGATGTTCTGTATGTGCCGACAAGAGGCAGATACAGTATGAACTAATAACGCCTTCAGCCATAATTAACTGCAGAAGACAGAGCACCTGCTACACTTAACACAAGTCGGAGTTCAGCTCACTGATTTGACTTTACTTCCAAATCCTATCTGATGAACACGATTTAGATCTGCCTAGAACAGCTGCTCATCCATGCCTTTTCTCCTCCTTTCCTTCTTGCGTATTCTCCTGCCTCACCTAAAACATCAAAACTGCAAGTATGTGTTGACCTGGGGTCATATAATAAAGGCTGGAGTTACCACACAGAATATGCTTATCTTATAAGAAAACAATAAATTAAGATTGAAGCCATATTTGTGCTGTTGAAACTGTGACAAATATGGTATCACACTCTCATGAAGACATACATATTTTGTATTCAAACGCCTTCGCTATTTCCACTTGGCACTGATAAATACTTTATAAAACCTTATTTTTTAAACTTCACCGAAAACTGCTTTAAAGAAAACAATGAAAAAGCCAACCTGGAATCAATCTACTGCCTTGTTAATCTCTCAACTGTTACTTTTTCAAATGCAAAATCATGTACTATGATCTCCCCTGTTCATACCAGCCTGCCTTGAAACATCTTCAGGAACAGATGCTAGGAGTTGCATATTTCTTAACTGAACAAAGCATCATGAAAAATGGTAAATATGTTCTGAATTACCAGCATGTGTGTTTTGAAGCCCCAGGCTGTGCTTCCCCATATGTCTCATTCACATTCATCCTAGACTTGAGTGTTTTCATAACCGGACAAAGAACAGAGCACACAGTAAAAAAAAAAATAAAGAGAAGGATTGTGATGGTGTGCCTCTTTTAACCTCAACCACCAATGTTATTCTAAAATGATGATCTATACTAAATACAATTGTGAGGATAATTTTAATAATATAACTTAATAACAATTACTATACTGTGTGTGTTTCTCAGAACATCAAAGCTACACTGATTTAATTCACACATCCAACTATATCTGTAAAATAAAACTACATTAATAAACAAACAAGGGGGGGAAAAAATTTAAATTAGGTATGATTTCAACTTTCCCTGCACAAATAATATGACTCAACTTGTTTGCAGTCACAGCACCTCCAGCCACTCACTCCTTTCAAGGTTACTAGGGACAAAAACACTGGTAAGGAAGTCATTCAAGCGCTGCAAAAGTAGGAGGCCTGTATCAAACTAACATCTGCAAACACATCAAGAACCATCCACATTTGCACGACCGATTCATTCTTCTCTTTACTGCTGAGCAACTTTATGAGATACGATATATCCAAATGCAATGCGATCTTGATAGTCTGAATGTTAAGATATATACAACAGCACAGCAGTCCAATGACTAATAGTGAGGAAAACCATGCCGACAGCCGCCTTAGGTTTGTAATCTTCTATTGCACACTGGCAGATAAACAGCAGCACATTAGCAGCTAGGAAATATACATTTCTGCATTTATTTGAGTCAATAGGGTCGTCTGTATGTCAGTTACACTGTGTCAAAAAAAATCATCCCATGTCCTGCACAGAAACACATGGCTTTACTTTGTTGTTTACGATCATAAAGCAGGATCATCAGTATATTTCAAATTTGTGCATATGTAGACACAATACATGAAAATAAAGCAAATAAATCAAACGCAAAAAAATATATTTCCTTAAAATAAGACAGGAATTAAAGTCCGATTTGGCTCCGTAACTTTTCAAATATAGACTGTGAAAAAGTCACCGCCCAATATGATTATATTAATGGTCATTTAGAACGATTTATTTGAGGGCAGCCTAAGGGTTTAAGACTCTGACCATGTAATCACAACGTCCCCCGATCGAGTCTAGCCAGGCCCTGTCTCTCTCCTCATTTCCTGTCAGCTCTCTACCGGATGCTATCTAATAAAGTTTTAAAAAAAACACCCCAAAACAATACATTTCTGAAAGAAAATCTACTCCCACAAAATATGGATTTTTTTTTAAGGAAAGATAATACCTGACAGAAGTAATGGTAAATATAATAAAAAAGGAAAGGTTTCACAGCAAGCCCAGAGTGACTTGCCAATTAGTTAAGGACAGATGTGGTACAAGTTTAGAGAACTTTGCTGTGTCTCTGTGCACTGAGGCTACAATTCAGAGAAAATGATGATTAGATGCCAGACCTTAAAATGTCACTGTTCAGTTCTCAGAGTGAGGTGCTGTCAAGTCTGAAGACTATGACATAACTCTGCCAAATATGACCTATAGCCTGTAATAAGTGTGATGTAATACAATTGTCTATGTATGCAAAACTTTTGGTATCTTTTTTATAAAACCGAGGTAAAGGTAAATTTACATTACCCTGCATACCACTGCTTCTGATGAGCAAGAAAATCCTGTGTTTTAAATTTAGCACAATAAATAATAGGCCAACAATGTTCTACATTTTGAACATGATGTTATGTATACAGTAAGCTGCAGGCGAAAGTTTGGTAACTTTATGTAAAAAGAATCAAGGACTTTTTCCTTAACGGTGAGAAAAAACATTTTTTTACAATCAATAAGTCAGTTGCAATGTAGCAGTAGCAGTGGTTTGAGATTGTGGTATGAGCAGGAGGTCGTTGAGTTAAATCCAGTGAATATATTAATAGAATAATTAAAAATGCACAATTAATTTAACTCCTTCCTTTCGCCACCCCTCTCAAAGTGCCTTCAGGCCAGGCACTGAACCAACAACTGCTCTATTTATGAGGCACCAGTAAAAGATTGGAGCTGTGCAGGCCAACTCCCAGGTGTAAGTGCATTTTTATGTGCAACCCTCCCTCACACATATCCCCCCCGACCTTTGCTATATATATATATATATATATATATATATATATGCTGTCAAGCTGTCACAAAGTTGTTCATTCAAAATGTCAAGCTTGAAGTTATCAAACCGCTCTAGATTCTGCATCAAAGTGTGTTTGTATCGTAACCCCTTCAAGCAACCCCTTAACCTGCTTCTACATACTCCCCTTCCCAAATGAAACATCTGCCATACTTATTGGTCATTTCCCTGCTTTTACTCCTTCTATAATTTCACTAGTTCACAACTACTGTATGTCCATTGCACCCTTATTCCCACAACACAATAACAGAACTCATAAGAGATTAGAGGAAATAACATATAAAATGCATACATACACTAAAGCAGAACTTAGGTTTGAGTGAGACACTGATCCACCTGAGACTTCAAAAACATAACTGGAAGGGGATGATGGATTGAGGGGGAAGAGGAAACTAATGAAACATGCCCACCATGTTTTTGCCCCATAATGTATTTTGACTTAGTGTTGCTGTTTGTGTCTTTTTTAGAACGGTAAATAACTAATCTTTAGACCAGCAGAAATACTAAACACATAAGCCCATTTGGAGAAGTAAAGCCTCCATCATTGAGCTGTTTTGAAAACTGGCCAGAAAGCTCAGAGCTCCCCAATAAAATAAAAAAAGAGCAGCAACATTACTACAAACTTTGCAGTTGAAAGAACTGGAAGGAATATCAAGTAAGGTCCACTCTCCAACAAAAGGTGCATTTTCTTAGCCCTGTGCCAATCACACTTCACACGCTCAAAAATATGATTCCAGTGAAAAACAAATCTTTAATTTACGTTACTTGCCATATCTTATACAGATTTGGACATTATATACTGCCACTTGAAGTCCTATCTATTTGTCTTTTAAAAATCCTTAAAAATATTCTTAGAGTTGCCTCAACATGCACTGTTCCATTTCCAAAACTATGCTGGCATATCTGGACGTTACCACCGAAATCCCAGACAAATATAATTTCATCTGAACCCTGTCTAATGCATCACTACAGACATCTCTCAAAAATGACTAGCATCTTTAATTATTCATCTACTGATTAATTTCAAAAAGGCAAGTAGAATCCACAATAGTTCAAAGTTTGTCGTGCGAGTGTGTGTGTGTGTCTGTGAATCAATTGCCTTATTCGTGCAACTCAATCCGGACGGATTATTTAAACCTAAACATGCATTTATAATGATTACCCTGCTACATTTATATAATCAAATCAAAAAACTACAGTAATCAATTTGTTTGAATAACCGCTTTGTTGTTTAAAAAGTTTATCAATTTCGCGTTAATTTAGTTTACTCATTAATACTTTTTTTGACATCGGGGCATAAGGGTTTTTTTGGGGGGAAAAGTGTTGTGTGTGTTTTCACACTCAAAAGTATCAGTGCATCAGGCGTGACACAACGCAATGTCTGCTGGGTCAAACAATAGCGAGGCAGCAGGCCTGAGACAACACGCCCTTCTGTGGAACATGAGATATGTGCACGCTGCACATGTGGCTGCAACGAAGAAGGGGGCGTGTCGGCCCCATTCATCCGCAGAAGTGAAAGTGAACACACATAATATTCACCCTGGAGTTGTGTTTTATTGCTGAGCTCAGTGTTGAAGGGCCCCACCGTGCATTTAGCTGATATACATGACCTTGATCCACATAACCTGAGAGGGTGTCCCCCCCCCCCCCACCACCACCACCACACAAGGCCTCAGGCAGTAAAAAGTCCCACAGTTATGACAGTGCAAACACAAAAACAAGAAATAACACTTACATAAGTGTAGATAAAATGAACTCACCGTCTTTGAGTCTAATTCGTGGTGTTGTTGAGCTAAGACTTTATCTACACTGGCAGCATCTGTAAACGTAACAAACCCAAATCCTCTGCAAAACAAAGAGATGAAAACAACAACAGTGTTATAATGCATACATACAAACACAAAAATTACAACACAAATGATTTTAAAAAAATAATAATATATATATACATATATATAGTGACTTGCCACAATAAACTGCATTAACAGTGGGCATAATATTCCTATGACCTTATTACTGCTACAACATTTCTCTGTAAATGTATTTAGAATCCACGTTATGGACGTCCTGTGGCAGACTGGAAACAGAAACTGAGGACGCCGCTGATCATTATTTGGTATGTTACAATATGAGACGACACTACACCAACACTGTGGTGCAGTCACAAAGTCAATGTCAAATTGCATTCGGCTGCAGCTTTACAGCAGTGAGCATTTAAGCTTATCTGGCTTGCTGTGAAACCACACGCAGGCGCGCGCACACAGGGACGCACACACACACGAACACGTGCGCGCGCGGACACAGAAACACACACATACACGCTGGATTAATACTAAACACGGACAAAGTAAGCGATATCGCTACATGCACTGGGGAAGGAAAAGTAGAAAAAGCCCTGTATTTACCTTGAGCGTTTTGTCGTGGGGTCTCTCATCACCATACATTCTCTTATTTCTCCGAATTTACTAAAATAGTCTCTAAGGCTGTCTGTGGATAGAGAAAATATGTCGGGTCATTTGACAGAAACATATGGGCATTGCTGTTGTCACTGTATTTAAAAAAAAAAACACCCCGCGATGCGCATAGGGGTCGAATAGAGGACTTCAGATGGACGGAGATCAAAAATAACATCGTGCGCACACACTAGTGAGATATCCCATACAGTACACTACTGCACAGTGCACATTCGCACATACACCGCCAGCAGCCACAACGAGCACTCAGTCACAGCGACAAAACAACAAGAAATACTGAGATACGGTGAAAAAGAGAATAACAGTCTCACCTGGTGAGGTTTGCCAGCTGAGGCCACCGATAAACATTTTACTGTAAGGGGAAAACACAACAGAAGTGAGTCCAGATGTCAGTTCGGCCATTTTGACGACTAACTACTTCTAAAAGCGACCTTAAAGGATAAAGGAAGACTATGAAAACACATTCGCGCTTGGTAATTATTCTATCTACATGAAACGGGGGAGGCCACTCTCGCTACAAAGCTCGGGTCTTTAAAACTGCATCTGGAAACAGAGCCGTGCACGGTTTTAAGTGCGTACTGTGGGGACGAATCCAGCACGGCAGTCGAAGTCCTCTCCAAGATGTTGTAACATGAAAAAAAATCGTACCTTAGGATTAAATTTAGAAAGATTCTTACCCCGGGTCATGTTGTGAATCATTTAGGCTTCCGGATGTGGCTTGACTCCCGTCTCCTTCCATATCTATTTCAAACTATAGGCTGGGACTACAGTCACAGTGACAGACACACACAGATACGGCAGGAGATATGCAAAGCCCCGCTATGAGAATATTACTGAGCCGGGAATGAAAGCGTCACACGTGGGATCAGCTCAGCCCCCTGCTCCCTCCTCCCTCTCTCTCAGCGTGCTCTACCTTGGCCCACAGGGGGCGGAGCCAGCCTCTGTCACCTAACCAATCCAATTGACGTCAATTCAGGCAATCTGCAAACCAATCCTCCGATTTGTCATTTAATTAAGCAATAAGCCACTAGAGGTGAAAGTGGCTTATTGCTCTTCTAAACCAGTGGACACATACGAGTGTGGAAAAAATAAAAACTTCTTGTTTTTCTTAATTAGTGACGTTTAGATATTGTTATTCAGCTGAGAAGTGAAGCTTTACAAAAGGAGCAGCGCGTTGTTTTTCTTTTTTTTAAATGAAGCGCAATAACTTGTTATTCTTCCGCGGGGCAATATAGTCCCTCACCGAGAAGCAAAAAGTGGGGCAATTCCTATTTGCATGTTAATATTTAAATGGTCCTGTTTTTTATGGCTCACAAGTGTTTTATTAAGAAATAAGCAGAGTTTTATTCAGCTGAAAGTTGCAAACAATGTGAAATAAAGTGTAAAATAAATATTGTGCAGCTGCAGTCAACTGGCACCTCTTTTTTATTTAATAATAGTGAAGGAAAGCATGCTGGTGTTTTTTAAGATTGCACAATAATTAGATACAAACAACAATTACTGGATGTTTTATCCCCCGAACTGTAGAGTTTTTAAATTATAAAAATATAATTGCAAAGTGATATGTAATACATTTTGCCAACAAGAGATGATTTTTAGTTTGTGCATTTAAATTTATTTTGTCTTACTCGGTCTGCAGTTTTAAACGTGAGCAATACGATCATGCTATCAACAATGAACATCTGTATTGATTAATAATGTTATAATGAACATAATACAATAAAACATTAATAACAAACAAATACACATAAAATGTTCAAATGCAGTTCAGAATAGGCGGAACATCAGATTATTAGAGAAAGTCTCCTGAGCCGTAGAATCTGTGTTGAAGCAGGTTCAAATCCTGTGGAAAAGCTCCCTGAACAAGATACTGAACCTCAGTAGCTGACCCCGAGGTCTGACCTTTAGCTGCTATATTCATTATGTAAGCCAACAAAGAATTTTCCTATGGGGATCAATAAAGTGTGGTATTCATACATACGGTGGAGTAATTATAGATCTTTTCATGTAGATGACCTGTAATGAGCTGCCAACCCTGCCTCTCTGCACAAAGCATGTGGAGATAAACTGACTCTGCCCCCTCATGACCCCAAAGAAAGAGGAGCAGGATAAGGAACAGATGAATAAATGAACAAGTATGACATTTGCGGTTGGAAAAATATCTTTTGAACATAAATTATCTGCACAGTATGCTATCAACAGAACATAAGAAAACAACTTTCATGCACAAATTACTAATTAGATTTTATCCATGTCAGATTACTGGACACAGAATTTAAACAATAAATTCCATATAAATGCAGTTTTCATTCATCTTAGCATGCGAATATTTACAAAAAAAAACAGTCCTGCATAAAACGTGACTAGTGATCTTATTTCATTATTCACATTCAGTGAAAGTTTTTTTGAATAGGCCTCTCTGTGCTGACTGTCTGTGGCACTACCAGAGGGGATTCCTTATCTGGCCAGGCAGCATGTTTTTGAAACAATGACTTAGATAAAACCCAAATAACAACACTTTTGACAGTTTAACAGCTAAAACTCTGTCATTAGTTAGGGGACACTCTACATTGCAGCTGTCTGTATCTCTGAAACAACAGTATAGAAGCAATTCCTTGTAGCACAGGAGTGTCAAAGAAAATGGAAATATGACACCTTGTGTGAAACACTATTACTTACCTGAGCTTCTATGCACTATTGTTCCGTCCCATGCCATTTGCTGATACATTAAAGATTCCTTTAGTGTTGCATTTTCTGTAAGTCTTCTTAAAGCATATGTCTACAATGTGAATGTAAGAAAATCACATCCACTCAAGCAGCTGCAGAGAGACAGAAGAGTAAGGGAGGGTATAAATTGACACGGAATATGAGCTCTGAGGAACAACAGGCTTTAAAGCCCATCACAGGGTGTGCAAAAATCACAGTGGATTTAACACATGAAGAGCAACTTCTGTTTTATGCTCAAATAAAAACACTGGGGTCCCAGGTTACATGGTGCGGTTGTGAATTATTCTGCTTTTTGAACATTGTTGTCGTGGCCTTTCTATTCACTGTTGTTATAGCATGAAGAGAGCAAAGGCAAACGTGACAGAAAGGGTACATTGAGTGTGACGTTTTACAATATCTGATCATGGGTTGTGAACCAGATTTGAACCCAAAGCCAACACTCCTTATTCTTTTTAGAATCTAAGCTTGGTCAACTACATAGCATATCTCAACAAATATCTTTCATATCTTTTGGACAACACTAGTTCAAGGTTTGGGTCTCTTTTTTACAGTGATTGAATGAGAAACCTGTATAGATTTTTGAATTGAGTGGTGTTCTCCTTTAATCTGAGCAGCCACTACTGCCTGATGAAAGTGCCTAAAATGTTTATCCTTCTTTAAGCAACTTTAGTCGCCCTGACAGCTATGCCTCTGGAGCAGCTGAGAGTTTAGTACAGAAGAGGAAAGAGAAGGGTTGTATTTTACAACAAAGTATGTCACATAGTAACACCATCAAGGCTTGGAAGCATTTATAAAAGTGACAGCTGTTGAAAGACGTTTTGATTAATGATTGGATTAATGATTTCAAGAAATAGACACATTTTTGCATCCTACATCGTTTGAACTCATCTGTGTTGAATTGTTGTTCAATTTACTTTAGATTCAAGGAAAATGCAATGATTTCTGAAGTCATATAGTAGCATCAGTGCAACTATTGCTTGCATTCAGTTCTGAAAAGATGAGCTGCTTCTCAATAGAAAGGAAACTCAGCATGCAAAAAAGCTTGTAACTGACTGAGCCTTTGCTCAGAACTGGAGGATTTGGGGATCGAGAGAGAAGTAAAATTGATAGTGTGTGAAAGAGCTGAGGGGAAAAAGAAAGTGAGAGAAGCAACAGACTCACTGACAGTGTTATGAGATGCTGTTTTGAGAAGAGGCATCCTGTTTCCTGTTGCAGTAATCATTTTACACCCTCAGAATCTTCACTTGACCTTGGAGAAATTGTTCTTGGATCATTTCAACCCCTTTTTTCTGCACAGACTCCTACATATAATCTGTGAGTGAAAGACAAAATATTTTTCTATCTTTAAATGTCCGGAGGCATAAATAGAGGTGATGATAAATGACTTCTAATACTGAAACACATTTTAAAGTGAAACTTGCACTCTACTGGGAGTTTATATTTGTATACACAATTTGCATAAATACCATCTGTTTTAAGCATAAACTGACATGTGAAAGAATCCAACACTAAATGAAAGCTCAGAGTAAATACCTTCCACATCACTTCCATGAAAGTGTTATGCTTATTATTCAAACACTCTTGAGATGTTGTTAATGTTATCCTTTGGATTATGTGAATGATTTCATATTGATCACTATGTGGATTGAGTTCTCTCTCTGCTTTGCTCAGGAGGACCCATTATAGCAAAATTCAGAATCCAGAGGAAAGCTGTGGAGAACGCTGCAGATGTGAACAAATTGTCTCCCTCTAGTGTCCTCTCCTTTCTGCTTCTTCTTTGCTGAGCTAAAGCACCTCTCAGACTGCAGGGAGAGAGGCAAACCGAAACATGCATAATTGACAGTCCTATTTCAGGAATTAGCCACCCACCAAACTGCAGTCTACTTGCTCTCTCATCTTGCCGGAATAACTTAGCATTTTATAAAAGTCTATTTCGTCCACATAGGACTATTTGATTTAGAACTGATGAATTTAATTCCACTCATCATCATCATTGATTTGTAAGGGTGCTTCTGTAAAGACCTTGTTGACTGATCATGATAGGTAAGGATTACTGGGAATGTGCACAATTGTCGCCACAGAGAGAAACTGTTTGAAGTCAGATCAGGAGTAAGGATGTTCTAGTGATGAGTGATTTTTCTCTCCCATTATGCCTTCTGTAACTATGCAGATGAGTTAATTAAGCTGTGCCAGAGGCTACGCACTAGCATTCCAGGTAGATGGGCCACTGTGATATTCAGACATCCACATTATTAAAAAATGAAACTGTAATATTGACTTTTGAAATCTAAAATGCATAAGGCTACTCAATGCTTCCAAATTATCCTTGCAAATTACAAAAAAGGCAGTATTCTCTTGTGTCAAGTGCCCAAAAGCACCTCAGGGTTCCACAAAATAGCTTATAGTACCCCAAAGGATCACAGATTCCTCAGAGTGTTACAAAATATGCAAATCAAAGCAAATCCCAAAAATACTGCATGAATAGAACCGTTTGCCAGAATTACTGTAACTACATACATGTCTGTTTTACCAATATAGGCCATGCAAGTTGATCTGCATTCTTGACCTCAGTATTAAAGGGCCATTTGCATGTGGCGCTCTTTAGACCAATCAGGCTCCAACACAAGTGGATGATGACAACATCATTTACCTGCTCCACTGGGCTAGGAGATAAGCTCATGCCCCTGCTGCTCCCTGGAATGTTCTCGCTGCTGTTTGTATGACTCCAGAGAGAGCTGTGTGTTACAGATGATGACGAGTGGCATTAAAGCACCGCGAGGATCCTATCCTATCACCTGTACAGTCAGCAGTGGGGAGAAAGATGTGCATGTTGGCCTTTTGGAGAGCTTTGTCAAGACAGATGAAGTGGTATAATCCCCCCACCCTACAGAGACTGAATGTGAAACGATCCTAGTCATGTAAGTGATATCATTTCTTTTGGATGGTTGCAGATTTTTAATTCAACATTGTTTCTAAAGTGAGCTTGATTTTGAGCCCGCCATCCCCAAATCTTTTTTCCACTCTGTCAAAGTACGTTAAAGCCCATTTTGTTGAAATCCTCCTCAGGACAGCTGCGTGGCATGCTCTTTGGCTTATCATGCAAATTTACAGCGAGATTTCCTCTCCATAGCGGTGTTAAGACACACTCATGCATGCAGGCAGCTGCATTTGTTGGTGCAATAGGGACAAACTGACATACAATAAAGCGTACGGATTACTAGCCTGAAACACCCTGATACACAGTTATAGTCGCTTTCTCTGAGTTTGTTTATATGAATGCATGTGCTATACCTTATATTCTTAAATCTTAATAGCAAGCCTCTCTGGACACACTGGTTAAGTGGTGCTTTCTGTCTTCTGGTTCATTCTTTGTTTTCCATGAGCCTATTCTATCTCTTTTTCTCTTTACCTAATTTTTTCACTTTCTGCCTGCCACCATATATTCTCTCAGTTGCCAACCACTTCCTATTCTGCAACCACCGACCTTAACACTGACCTTGCCTTGTCTCTGCCATTGAGACGAGAGCGAGAGATACCATATCCTCAGCTTCCCCCCACTATGCTGCAGGGTAGAATTTTGCCTGTCTCATCAGTCTTCCAGCTGCTGGAGTACATCTTGTTATTTCTTCCAGATTCCTACATGTTTCGCTTTTCAGTTGATCAGTGGCCAGACTGGAAAACATTGCTCTTGGCTCAAAGAGAGGGTGAGCCTTGGCATATAGACCCAAGCTGTCAATACAGATTAGGTTTATCAGATAAAGTTTATCTGCAACATTTGAACGTCCTTTGGTTGGGTACCAGCCTAATTCTGGGTTTCAATTGATATGGTGATGCAGGCTCTAAGGAGGTCAAAATTGGCAGCCATTGTTTTATAAGAAGGCTGCAGTGGCCTTTTCAAGGCATGCCACTCTGTGCATCAGCATGTGTGTGAGCCTCAGTCTATCATGGTAATGGGCATTACATTAGGTGTATATTAGGTGGTGTAGGTTGCTGGTTATCTACAGTAATTGTCATGATTTCCCTGTCTCATGTCAGGAAATGGTTTCCCTTGAGTGCCACAGAGTGCTGTCCTTCATTCATCCACTGCTCTCAGTTTGTTTGTTCTCCTACAGTGTTTGAGTGTGATGTTCTGGGAGAACAATATCTTTTGAAAGTTCAAAGAAAAGTCCACAAATTAGCTTACAGTATATAGATGCATTTTACTCCAAATCTGAGCATTAGTTGGATGTTTGGCCAAACATGGTGTGTTGAATTATCAAGTCCTACCATTGCAGTTAAACTCAAAGGTCATGTTTGTGCATTCTAAACAGTTGTGGGATTTTTTTCAAGAGGTCCTTGAGAATAGTCAGGGGCATGTTGTGTCCTGGTGAAGAACACAATCTCTCGTCACTGACTGTAATGTTTTAGGATAAACATTCATTTCTGTCCCACCGCCACAAGAGGGCACTTTGAGCACATGTAATCATGAGAGGAGCTGATGTCATTTGTGTTTATGTGTCTTTCATGGACGTGGCACAGAGTGACAGGTCTTTTGTGTTACTTTAGGGACTGGCAAGTGTAAAATCACACACCAGGTGCCCCACCTGCAGTTGCCTTCTGGCCTCTCTTACTGAAGAGAAAAATTACATGATGTCCACATGCTGCTCTAACAGTTAAAATGCTGGGCTGTTTTCTGGACTGTGTTATTTCTGTATACAGTCTCAGAAAAGAGGTTTAATTCCAAACTAACTCCAAGAACCCATTAGCTTGGTAGTGAGCCAGCTTTGTAAGCAGTGCTCTTCAAAAACGGAAGACTTTTTACAACAATGATACACACACACACACACACACACACACACACACAAAAGATGTATAAAGTAAAAACACACACTACCCACCTGCATTAAGATTATACTACATTATATGTTCTTAAAACCTTTCTATATGCCATCGTCTGAACAAGGTGGCATATAAAGCTGATGGGGAATTAAATGTACAAGGACACAAGAGGGCAGTGGGGTTGCCGGGTATAAAGAAGTACACTGAGGGTGAGTCTTATTGAGTGTGTCTGAAGAAAGAAGGCAGCTCACTCAAAACAAGCTGGGTGGAGAGATGAAGAGGGGAGGCATGGAGCAGTAAATGATGCTAGCCTTCTACACCTTGTCAGTTATTAGGAGAAGCCAGAAGAGAAATCTGACATTACTTTGTGTTGTCAGAGAAAATAATTGGCAAGCAGGCCAGCTAGCTGGCACCTACAGTGCTGTACTTGGGAGATATGTTTTACAGTTCTGCAGCCCAAGGCTGACAGAAAGATAACAAAAATTATATATTTTTCTACATATCTATATCATGTATCTGTTATGGAGACAAATCTCCTTAAGGATTAGGATGTATAAAAATTGCAATTTGCAACAAGACAAAAGGAGAGTGATCATGTGCCCCAAACAACATCTACAGTGAAAAACTAGCTGGTTAATAGTACTTTATATTGATAGAAAGGGACTACCTAATAACTAATAAGTGATTAAATGAAGATGTAAGTTAAAGGGGAAATAGATAGTTGAGGGAAGAAATGGAAACCAAGTTAACTTTCTTTGAGCTTTTAATCATACTTATAAATAAACTGCGCAGCAACCACAAGTTTCTTTCTGTTTTGGCTTCTGCTTCTAAGCTATAAATACACACACTTTATTCAGCAGGTGTTTGAGTTTTCAGTTAGAGGGCTGGTATGCAGATAATATCATCAGTTGTTCACTTTTTCTGACTTGTATTTATTCTTTCCATTCAGTAAATCTTAAGAATGATACATTAGTCTTTCCTAAATTATCATCAACTACATAATATCTGTCTATTTATCCAGTTGTATTGTATTTTTAATTTCCTGTGTCAGTAAGAATTCTTTATACAAGGCAATGTATTTTATGGATTTCTATTCTTCCATTTTTTGGCTAGATGCTCAGGTATGATCCATGGCCCAACTGGCATTACATCAGATGTTTATTATTCACAGTGTGGGTGGTGACAGTGATTGCATATTGCTCTTCGAGGCTGTGCCCTGCTGAACCACAGGGTCACCTGTTCTCCAGGCCCACACCTCCCTGTGGCACAGAGTGCGGGGATGGAGCCCTGCTTTCTCCGTCACAGATGTTCCTGCATGTGAAATTTTCTCACTTCTCTGCATGACATCAATAAAGTTCACATAGAAAGAAGACACTATAATGTTCTAGTTTCTGTTCCACAATGTATTTGTCCATACAGCAGATGATTATTTTTTTTTTTTTAACTGAGAATTTCAGAATGATTGCTTAGTGACCAACAGATAATGTGTACTCTGGGTAGTTTCCAGGTGTGATAAACTGCAAAGCGAGGTCTGACTGGAATAAGCGCTTTCATGCTTGGTGAACCTTCCTTCAATTAATAAACTTAAAAACAGATTTGTTTTGATAATTAAACAACTACCTCAGCCCCTACCTATGTCAAAAAAATAAAATAGCTTTTTGTCTGACCTCCCCTGAGGTGAAAACTGTGGTGTAAAAAGGCAGATGAGGCAAAATTCAATCAATCATAAAAAAGTGTACATAACTCAACGTACATTTTATTTAACTTTACAGAAAGTGCTTATCTGGCACTGTATTCCTCTTAACTTTATCAAAATAATGCAGCTTGCTGAGATGCATTTCCTACTTTTGAGGCACCTTTTGGTGCCATATGCAAAGGTATTTCTAAAATGTAAAAACCCGTAGGCTGCCACATCACTGTCATCTATGCTTTATGCAAGCAAAATTGGAATATCTTAACATTTCATATAAATAAGCTGAGAATGTCTGCGCTTTGATGCTCTGCGGCAATATAGCAGTAGGTTAGCATTCCTGGAACGCTCAATCACCATGCAGATCATTTTCACGAGCGTCACTGAATCATGAAGGACACTTAAGTCTGAGATGTGATCAAAATACAGAAGCAGTACTCGGCACTCAGAGTTTGTTAAAGATAGTGACGCAACATTGTGCATTTGTTTTCCCCTCCGCTCCAGTCTCTGTTGTTCCCTGTTTGGTATAGGCTACATGTCATGACCAGTTCCTTACAGACACCCTGTCTTCAAAAAATATTGCTCCTCTGGTGAGTGATATGGTTTGTTACATGAAACAAGCAGGCAGGCATCGAGGACATCTATAAAGAGTCAAAATAAGTTAATTAAAACTTGTCATGTATGCTTGAAAGCCAATACAATAAAATAAAATAAATTGACCATAATATCACCAAGACAACATCAGTCGAACCCAGCCAATAGTTTTAGAAAAATAAAAGATATACAACAATTTTTAGGTCATAATGTGTGCTGGACAGCCTTGAAAAGGGTAGACAGTAGTTGCAGATGAGCACCAGGCTACATTCAGTTACATAATAAACTGCTACCTGAATGTATAGTGCCACCATGTGCTTAGCTATATTCATTACAATGTTAAATCAGTGACAGTGCATTCGAGTCCAGGCTTGTAAAAAGTGTTAAAAAGGTAACACATTGCTTTTTTGACTTACTATCATAAAAGTAGCATCATACTCAGGGTAGCAGGAATTAAGAGAACTTTGTATTTGAGCTGTTGTATTGTAAATGGCCTTTTGCTGAGAGAGCTGGTAATATACAAACATAACAGTACCACAACAGTCAACAGGCTCTTATCTGTGCTCTATTTGTTTGTGCTGTAAATGCATATGCTTAGCACTGAGCTGTCAGTCTTCGTCTTTCAAAGGATTTGTTGCAGAACGAGAGAAAGAAGCCCCAGGCTGTGTAGGAGAGGGAGCGAGGAGCAGGCAGCAAAAGCATCCAGGCTGCAGTTGCTGACACCACTGGGAAGAGACTGATTTTGCCTCCTCACACTCCTGGTGCGAAGAGTGGTTGTCTTCTTTGTTCGGACGGAGAGGCTCTCTGTTGTAAAGAATCTGTCTGTAGCCAGCGTCATGTCAGCCCTGGTGGGTGTGTCAGTAACAAAGCTTGTGTCAGAAAAAGGGGATGTGTCGGCAGGTGAGGTTTCCTTTGTGCCAGAGATGAGATGGGCATCAGTGTGGAACATGTGCTCTCCGGCAGCTGGGCTAGCAGGTGCAGAAAAGTGATTAATGGTGAGATGTGTGTCTGTGCTTCTGGGTGGCTGGGTGGAGATGCTGATGGGTGTGACTGTGAAGGGGTGGTGTGGCGTGTTCCAGGTCTCTTTGGGGTTGTGTGAGGTGCTTAGCAGAGCAGAAACAGACAAGTACCACCAACCGGTCACACTGGCTTCAGGGGGCATGGAGCTCAGGTCCTGGGCACTCGCTGCCAGAGGGGGCAGGTTGTAGGAGGCAAAGTGCCACCCTCCAGTCCTGCCAGGGCGGACCCCTCCACAGACGGGCTGGGTGTGGCAAGGGCAGCCCAGGACGTGAGCAGGGGTATGTTGAGTCCAGGAGAGTAAGTAGCTGATGTCATCATAAAGGTGGCAGGCCCAAGGGTTGTCCCCCAGAGTAATGACTCTGAGTGATGTTGTCTTGTCAAACACTCCAATGGGCAGTGTGGAAAAGCGGTTAGCATGCAGATAGAAGTGAGTTAATCTGAGGAGCCGGTCCAGAGAGCCCGACAGCACCTTCACAAGCAAATTGTGGGACAGGTCAATAGTGTCCAGGTGTACAGGCAGGTTGGTGGGCAAAGTCCAGAAGTGATTGTGGCTTAGGTTGAGCGTGCACAGATTGATCAGTGTATTGTTGATGAAGATGGCTCGCTCCAGCTTGTTGTTGGAGAGGTCCAGCAATCGCAGATTCCACTGGAAGACGGTATCGTTCTTGTCCAGCAACTGGAGGCGATTGGAGGTGGCGTAGAGATGCCAGAGGGAACGAGGCAAGCCGGTGGGCAGGTGGCTCAGCCGGTTGTGAGACAAATCAAGGGAGCGGAGATGGGTGTATGCGGTGAGCTGGCCGTCCAGGTTGTGAAATCGGTTGTGGGACAAGTTGAGGGACTGCATGTTGTGCTGCAAGCCATGGGGCAACTGTCTCAGCCCCCTCCAGGAGCAGTCTACCTCCCTGTGACTGCGGTTGCAGGAGCACATGGAGGGGCACACAGCTAGAACATGCAACCCCAGCAACAACACAAGCAGGAGTTGCAGAAGGGCCTCATTAGGGGGGAGCTTCAGGAGCACATGCCTGCTAAAGGAAAGATAGGGAGACAGGAATGTTAGGGTTTGTCTTATACAGCATCGTCTTGAACTCCAGGAGGCACACTGTGAAAGCAGAAGTGATGCCTGCAGTGTACTTGACTGGTGAACACAGGAAACATGCCCTTGCTATCTGCAGGAGCAGCATAGTAACTGCAGAGGGAGGCTGAATAAAACTTGTTTCATCGTTTCTGTGAAGCTCCACCCTCTGCCAGAATCTCTCTCTCACCCTCTCTGTCTCTCTCTATGCTGTACATACACACACACACACACACACACACACACACACACACACACACAGGCTGCTCAATATTTGCAGCCCATCACTGCATTGCTTGCAGATACACACATTCACATTACATGCCAAACTCACTGCCCCATGGGAGGAATGTTTTCAGAGACGCTGTAGTAGTGTCCTTTTAAAAAAAATGCTCATACTGTATATATGCACCACCAGCAAAGGGTTGAAATGTCTCCTGTTCTTTTATAACTGATAAATATTTGACCTGATGTGTAAGAGGATATTTTTAGTCTATTCAAGAATATCATTCATCACAAAAGATGAGAAATCCCTGTAGTCATTTTCCCTGGCATCAGTTTGCATCTTCAGTCATCAGTGGTTGTCAGAGCAGTCAGTCCCATGCTCTCAGAGGAGGAGAACTAGCTCAATAGATGGGTTTTATTAATGACTCCACAGAGAACTCATGCATCAGCTAGTCCGAAGACAGGCAAAGACACAGTCAGGAGCTCTACGCTGCAGTATGTGTGAGCCAGGGTGTGGCAGAATATGTGTGTAAAAAAAGAGTCTTTGAATTTGTCCATAACTCACCTTCTCATCTTATCATTCCAGTCACTTTTTTCTCTGCTCCTTTTTTTTTTTTTTTTGCTGTCCAGCCCCTCTTCCCCTCTCCTCTCCCCGCTTTTAAGCTCGGGACCAGCTGCTGTTCTGCTGAAGGTGATTTTTTTCGTATGCCTGAAGTCCCCTCATAGAATTTGACCCTTGCTCACTTGTCCAGTGCAGCTTTTTTTGAAGTTATCCTCACTGCCTTGCAGTTTGGTCCTTTTGTCCTCTTTGCCTCTTATATAGATCTTTTGGGTTAGCGCGATCAGGCACTGCAGACTCTGGATTTACTCTGTGCAGTGGAAGTGAGGGAAGGGTGGGGTGTTGGTGGGGGGAAGTATTAGGAAGGGGGAGGGGGGTGGTGGCGGAGGAGAAATGGAGCGAGTAGTGGAGGTGTCCCTGCATACAAGGCTGCTACAAAGGAAACTCCTCAATCCCTTATCTGGAGGCTTTCAGGATTTATTTCTGCATTTAAAGTGACATCTATTGTTGGTTAGATTAATTGACTGATTGCAGTCCTGTTTGTACTCAAAATAAATTAGACTGTTATCAGTTATCACCTAAATCAATATTATTCCTCTCTAAAGCATCCCTTTACAAAGTAATACCGTGCTGTAATTGGTTGTTATTTTCCCTGTGTAAATTTAGACACTGCCACAAAAACCTTCAAGATTTATTGCAGAGGACTCCGCTGCAGCTCCCTACCTGCCATCAGCAATACAAGCAACGCTCCATTCTGCACTGCAATGCATCAGTGCCTTGCATTCTGGGGGACCGTTCGACAGTGATACAGATGGTGATCAGGGTTTAAACTTAAAATTCAACATAATAACAAAGTAAAATAGTAAAAAAAAATAATTAATTCAACCCCAGCGGCTAAAAGTCTTTGTTGTTACGTATTCCTATTTTGGTATATTTTTGGCTCAATTGTCATGTAAGCTACACAAAGTACATCTTTTGCAATGTTTTTGTTACTTCTTCCCCCATCTGTCTCTGTACTTCCCTCTCTCTCCTGCCTCAACTTCAAGTGGCTACTTTCACTGTGAGTGAAACTCGTGTATCCTGTCATTGCACCTTACAACAAGCCTCAAAGTCAAACCCTCACTTCCACTGTCTGTCTCTATACAACATGCTGTGCTGTCAATTTGAGCTGTGTTACCACATAGCAGCAGAGGGGGAAAAAATCACCCAAATCTCTCATATCCAAGTTTTACCTTATTCACTTTAAATGCCTGATATACAATACAGAAATCAGTTCCTGCCTGAGACATATTTGACATTTACTTTCACTGAAGATGGCTTTTACTGCACCCCAGCTCTAAACTTTCACATCACCCAGAGCTACTGCATCTCAGAATGTTTTCATCTACTTGCTGTCAGAGTTGAGCTGGAGTTGAAGCGGAGGCTGCATTGAGAGGGGACAAACTATTCAGACTTTTAATGAAAGGTGCACATCCATCATGACGTCACAAGTAAGTAGACGAACAAATATCTGCACAAGGCGGCGGAAACAACCGCATATTGGTTTTTTGAAAAGGTTTTGTGTGTGGTTTTGTCAGCTCTGGTTGAGGTGAAAGAGGGGGTTCTTTCTGAGTTGGGTGCACTGCCCGGAAGAGGAACATTCTATGCTTGCTAATCAAGCAGACCTCTTTCTCACTCTCACTCTCACTCTCTCTCTCATGCACACACACAAACATGCACTCATGTTACACAGCAAACACTAAACAGAAAATAGATGCATGGTAATGAGCTCAAAACTGAAGTCACAAGCTATATTTTATTCCTCTGGTTGTTGCACATGTCATTAATGTCATAAATGTGTGTACATCTCAAAATCTCAGAAAAATAAAGCAGGTAAGTAACAAATTGACTTGCAAAGAGGTGTATTATAACATTAATGTATTCTAATATTCAAAACACAAAAATAAGAGCGAAATACAGTATCAACCAATTGTTTTCAACCAAAAATGCTCAGTGCTGGGTTAGACAGATTTAACAGCACACACAGTTGTTCAACTTACTGTAAAGAAAAAGCTGCATATAAAATCCTTTATTTACTGTAAATAGGTTGTAAAGCCATAAAAAATTAAAGACAGTTGCTCAGGAAACTCTCTAGCTTCACACACACAGCTCTACACCACATCCTTTGGTTCCTCTGTGCCTTCAGAGGTGGGGGCTGCTACAGCTGGGGTGGGCTGGGAATCGGTGGCCTCCTCTTGTGGCTTTGGGGGAGATGAACCTTCAGCGACAGGTGTAGTTGAAGCTTCCTCACCGTTGGCGGTGTCTTCCACCTCCTTCTTCTTCTCCTCTCCCATTTTCTCGTCCTCATTTACCTTCTCTCCTTCTTCCTTGGTGGTACCGTTACCCCTCTCCTCTTGTGATTGACTGATGTCAGACATTAACACGCTGGTCTCTTTGGCTTCTGTCTCTTCTGGCTTGCTTTTGTTCTTCTTGTCATTTCCCATGAAGTATTCAGGGTTGCTGATCAGGTCTGCGTTGCTGCTGAGCGCCTTGATGCGTCTGCTCAAATGGCACACCTTCCAAGCCAACAATAAAGTAGAAACCAGTAGAATAGTACAGGCTATGATCAGTCCACCAGTCACCATTAATACCGGAAGACAGTCCTTGCTGAAAAAGATATTCTTGGTGTCTTGCGTGGTGGACTGTGGGAAAGGTGAAGGTGAAGTGGTAGGACTTTTGGATGATTTGGAGACTGCTGTTGATGTTGTTGGTAAGTGATAACTGCCAGGTGTGCTGCTGGAAGCATTGGCTGAATCATCTTGGGATGTTGCTGAGACCGACTCAATATAATAACTACTATTATCCGGATTGGTTTGAGCTCCACACAACAGTGGACCCAGGATTTCTATGCAGTACAACAGGACGAGGAGGCCATTCATGTTGGTATCTGAGAAGACGTGGAATAGAAGTTAAGTTTAATGAGTTTTGGCATACAAATTCAATACAGTGAGGAGAATAAGGAAGGAGTCCTATCCCACCCCCAGCCTATGTCTTACAAATCAGAGGTGGAAAGTACTCTTGTACAATTTTGAGCTATTTTGAGGGGTCATTTTATGCTACTTTATATGACTACACTCCACTACATTTTGGAGGCAAATATTGTACTTTTCACTGCAATACATATATCAGGCAGCTTTAGTTACTACTTACTTTGCATATTCAAATTATAAATACAAAATATAATCAAATAATATATGATGACAAGATATTACAGATTAAGCTACGCATTAGTTTGTTACAAATAGCCCCATCTTTACCAGCTGCCAATCAGGGAATGTAACTTGGTACTTTTACCTAAGTATTTTACATAAGTACCAATTTGAGGTCCTTTACTTAAGTATTTTCATTTTATACAACTTTACACTTCTACTCCTCTACATCTCAGAGGAAAACTTTTTACTCTGCTCCATCTGACTAACAACTTTAGCTAGTTACTTTCAGATTATTCTCTATACCTTTATTGTCAAGTGAAAACAAATAAAAAAATCTTTTTTTGTAGTGTTGCTGTCCTGTGAGAACAATGTATCTTTAAAAGGTCAACTTTGTCACATTTGTCTCTGAGATGTAGTCGAGTAGAAGTATAAAGATGCATAAAATGGAAATACTCAAGTACCTCATATTTGTATTTATGTACAGTAACTTGAGTAAATGTACTTAGTTGCATTCCACCAATGTTATTATAATGGCAATAATTATTAGTATTAGTACTTTTACTTAAGTAAAATGTTTAATTCAGTTTTTAAGAAGCTACTGACTTGCTCACTTGCTCACAGCTCACAGGTCTTTTTAAAATCTAACTCAAAAGAGAGAAAAAAGCAAACATAAAAGAGATAAAAGAAGCAAACACAAGGGGATAAAATGATAACGTAAATAGGATAGGGTTTTGCATTTGAAAGGCCATGGAAATTCTGGCTAACAGATGATGCAGTACCTCCACCTTAATTTCATTACTGGACATTACTGGACTAGAAACTAGCAATTACCCTTTAAAAATCTAAAAATACTAGTCAGCAGTAATTTACTGTAATGTATGTTATTTAAAACACTGGTATGAGCCGTTAAGATTGATTTATCTTTGAATATATTGGCTAGGCTGTATTGCTTTGTTTGAAACTTTACTGAAATTGTAAAGTTTCTCCAAATAAGTGGATTTGTTTCTGTAATGTTAGATTCTGATGAATTCAAAAGGAAGAACTGATAGATTGAAGTGATTCTTTCCCACTCACTTCACAGCATTATTTTAAGTTAATATACAATATACTGTCTTTATAGTATATATACAAATATCAAATTTGTATCACCAGGATTTAGGACAGAACCTGCAACAACATTAACTATAAATACAGATATAAGCACTTATTACTTTTTTTTTTTAGAGTTCTTAAGAACTCAACTATGTCCTAAAAATCAAGTCTATACCATTATTCTTTGGTCCATTTCTTAGTGTTTACAGGCATCAAGATAATATAATGTATTAAAGCAAACTGTCACTTACATTGTAGGTGATCTTGATATAGTTCCAAAAAGAATATGGTTGTGTATGCAAGTAAGGTGAGATGAACGATGTGTAAAAGACCTGAGAGACACTGACAGTAATCAATGGCAGACTCATCTGGTTGTTCTTACTTCTCCATTTGGACTATAAAAAGACAAGGAAGTGGTTTTGATGTTCTGTTCAATGCTGAAGTTGGTCACGCAGACATCTGTGGGGTGGCAGACTATAAAAAGTTGCGTGCATGCTGAATTCTAAGTAGCTAAGATAACATAGCAATAGGTCTAAATCAATGATCATGAATTCCGGTAAATAGCGTGTTTTACCTTCATTTCAGTTTTGAATCAATGCAACTTGGGCTTTACATATAGTTGTATGTAAACAATGTGGCTATCTGCATGCACAACGGTAATATATATGAGTAAACTAACATCTATAAAATTCTACATATCCAACCCACAATCTGCATGACATCAAAGTTGTACATTTCATAGTTTTATCACAAGCAGTAAAGCAGCACATTGCACTATTCTTTGTTTTAGTAAATGGTATTGTCTTTAAGGCCTGTCACAAGACTCCCTTTTTGGAGGCTGTGATGCTGACAAGCTCTTGCATAGTTTATAATACCAGCTGCCCACAAACGCTTTAGATGACATAACTGGAAGAACCGTGCATGCATCTAACACGTGGACACGTTTGTCTTCTTCAGCATCATCTATGTATTTTTTCCAAGCCACAAGCCACAATTGGTCACATATCACTCTATTAATAGT